CTCCCCTGCCCCCCCCGGCCCCCCCATCGGGGCCTGCCCCGCACCCCCCTGCCCCGCCATCAGGGCCTGCCCCGCAACCCCCTGCCCCGCCAGGAGGGCCTGCGCTGCATCCCCCCTTCCCCGCATCCCCCTGCCCTGCCATCAGGGCCTGCCCTTACCTCGGCGTCCCCGCACTGACCGGGAACTGAGGAACCAAAACACGCAACTTTGTAAGGCAGACTGAGCAGATAGGAATCTTAACAAGCAGCCTGAACTCTGAAGAAAACTGACCACAAGAACAGCCCTGTAGAGAAACACGTTTATTGAGAGCGTTGCTGCATTAGAATTATTACCACTTCATCAGCAAAAGCTGTGGCAAAAAGAATTACGTCGTTATTGTCTTCCTGTCGGGCGGTCAGCACTGGTCCCTGCGCTGGTTGCTCAGCTCCTGAAGCTCGGCAATCAGGCTGTCCATCGCAGCCACCTCACCAGCCATCTCCGCGTGAACCTCCTCGCTTGTCACATCTACAAAAAGTTTCTGCGTGACAAAAAGAAATGGATTATTTTAAAATAAACATACAGGGTCTGTTTCAGCACAGAGACAGAACACAGAAAGCTCATCACCGCTATCCTGCCTTCTGTATTTTTGGTACTTACCTCTTTAAAAAGTTCATTTTGTGGCTAATAAACAGAAGGTTCATCTATATTTTTCTAGATACGTATACACACACACACATATAGACACATGATCTACATATGATTCACCTAACACTTTGCCAAAGGGGTGAATCCTTCTGTGGATACTGGGTTTCTGCTCTGACCTGATGGCCTGTGCTGACTCCTGACCCCATCGAAAGTGAAGGGTTCTACCACGAAACTCAAATCAGAAGAGCATCTCACATGCTGCCACTGCAGCTTACAAACCCTCCTGCTGATAAATTAGTAGGTGTGAATGTTAATGGCCATTTTCCCCAGTGCATATTCTGTTGTGACATTTTCTCCAAAACCCCAAATAAGCATCTTTTTAATATTTGGTGTCAAGATGTGTGTGGGTAGATACATTAATCTGTGTGTAATTCAGTTAAACCAGAGAAAACACTGCAGAGTAATAAAAATAGTTTGTTCTTAAAGACATAAAGATATTATGAAAAAAACAAAGCAGCTGACTTATGAGCAATCATAATCTTAATATATTTACAGGGAAACCAAGGGAGAGGAATGCAAAATTACTTGTCTAAAGCCTTAAGATATGCAAGCCAGACTGGAGCTTTGTGCATGCTGCACCAGAACATGTTGCTGTTGCAACATGACTTGACTCAAGTAATATGGAGGTTGTGTGAGGTATCACTTCACAGAAATACGGTGGTGGTGGTCCCAGACATATGTTTCCACTTTATTATGTAAAGGGAGAGTGATTCACACTTCATCTGACACAAACAAAGAGCCTAGATTTAGAGACAAAAACAAACCAAGAAAACAAAAGATACTCTGGAGTATAGCTGTACATCATTATATCATCAAAACATAATGGAACAATACAGATACATATATATACAAAAATGTACTTAAAAGGCCTGAACTAAGGTCTTCAATGTGCCCAAGAACAGTGTTGTCACTGAACAAAGGAACATCTCACATAAAAATAGGAACATGTTCCTGCTACAAGTACAGAAATGTTTCTGACTTTCAGCCTGAAAACCTCACACTGGGAAAGTGACAGAAGAGTTTGGTTCTTTCTGGCTGAGGCAGCTAAATAAATCAGGATGATATAATTATTTCTTCATTATTTTTTTTTCACACAGCTAAAGAGATCTATTCAACTAGATGCAGCCCGGGGAAGTTTCACACACCATCACTCTTTGGGCTTTGTGCTCCATGTTGCCCCACAACAGTACACACATTTCATTCATTTACGGTACAGCTCCATGACCTTCCTTATTTTCAGAGACCTCACCTGTCAGATCTGAATGATGCATGGGGATAAGGAGCAGAAGGGAGCCCACTATGCTATTTGCCAGAGTATGCGTCTGCCCAGAAGGGTCTGTACAGAAAGGAGCCCATTAACAACACATATTCGTGCTACAAGCTTCAGCAGAGTCTGGATAAATTTTAAGCCCAGCACAATACAGGAGCTCAAATGCCAGAGATGGAGATGCCAAGGAAGGCAAGAAGTCTGAGAATCAACATCATTTCACCTGTACAAATACTACTTATTAGTTCCAGTTACATGTCCTGACTATTAAATTTTGTAAGTTAATCTTTTAAAAGTTACTTTCACAGTTCCTTTATTCCTTCTGAAATCTTGGGTACTGACTCTGCTCTTAGTCCACTCTTTAAAGTGCTTTTCTCTGTTAAAAGAGAAAAAAAAAATCCCACACTAATATTGACTCACAAGGCAGCAAAAGGAGATGCTACACTCAAGCTTGGACAGGCATAAACAGTACTAAACTGTTTGTGCATAGGATCTTACAGAAGATGACCGAGTTTTTAAACCACAACACTTTGGAAATTCAACATGACTTCAAATTAAAAATAAGATGTCATTCTGGGAATGAATGTGGAAACAGTGAGGTCACACCAATAGTTGTATCTGTAACATGTCAGGTTTCTCAGAAGTGTCATAGAACTCAAGAGGCACCATTATCTGCCAATAATAAGATGTTAATTTCATTAGTGCCTTCAGGAATTAAGAATACAATTTATTAGACTTACCTAATCTTAATCTTTCAGATACCGCATGATCTTGTGGTACTTGCATTTATATAATTTATGCCAAGTTGTTTTGCTTTTGCTACAGTTGTACTCAGTCTACACACCCTTTTTTTTAAAACCATTTTGTGAATCACAACAAATCATACACCCTGTGGCTTTTTTCACCACATTCCAAAGACTTACCTATGCCAGTATCTAAGATTTTGCAGTTACAGAGCCTGCTTGTGTCTGCTTATACGACTTTCCTAGGCTTCTATCCTTAAAATTATAGGTCTTAAAAGAGAGTGATCCAAGTGTGGCACACTGATGACAGATCAACACTTTGTAACAAAAATACACGTTATAAAACTTGTGCTCTGTAATTCACATTTACTAAACCCCACACACAGCCAAGAAGACTACTTCTTTAAGACATTAAGTGTATTTTGAATGAAAATGTATTCCAGATCAGTCCTCAGTTAAACGATGGCTGTGTCTCATAAGATTAGAGGTAAAACTAGGATAATAATGGTGCAGAAACAGGCTTGTTTCTTTGGGTGCCTGACTATGGAGGCACAACTCCAAATAACAAACCTACAGTTCAAACACAATATTTTCCAATGAATTAGTATATGAATTGGTACAGTATCCATGAAAACCTTATTAAAAATTTGTTCTCTCTTTTATTATATCACTCTGGTTTTAAAACACTTCAAGTGATGCAAAATAGTCCTGACATGTTTTGGTAATTTCTGCAGGTTTACATCCATTCTTTCTGAGATTGCCCTGCTTCCCCCATGACTACTCACATAAGGAAAAAGTCTTTGAAATTACTGATTTCTTCAAAACATTTGAGTTGGTTTGCCCAACATTTTAAGTAAAATTCTGTCTTAGTCTAAGAGACAGCATTGACATTTTAGAGTAGTTGGTTTATTTCAGTCAAAGTCTAGCAGGAAGAAGGGAAAAAGAGATCTACTTAAAATTGCAATCTGTAACAGCTTGGAGGTGAATATCCATCTAATGATACACTAGGACAGGCGGGTATTATTTGATCTATAAATGACTCAAAACAGAGAGATGGTTTCTGGCAATAGAACAAAGATTCCTAGTTTTCAAACAAAAATTCCTGCCTTTCAAACATTCCTACCTTTGCTTTGGATGACAAGCCACGTAAGTTGAGTCGAGCTGAAGAAAGTATCTGCAAAGCTTCCTGATGATTAGATTTGTTCTTGCTGCATTTTATAGCCACTAGAATCCAAATACAGATGAGAAGGACCCCAGAAAAAAACAAAGAAAGCATGACCTCTGTATCTGTATCTTTAAACAACTACATTTATTTAATACATTTCATAGACAATTTTTAAATGTAATATCCCCAAAAATAAACACAAAGAAAAAGATCACCAACTGATTTTTGTGATAAAGATAACTAAACATAACAGGTATATGTATCCTCCTTAAGCAGAAGTGTCACAGCATAGTGAATAGTCTTATCAAGTCTTAAGTTTTGTCCATCACCTGACTGGCAGAGTCATGTGATGATCTGAGGACCAAGATAAACTATAGGTATATCTTTTCACTTGCATTATGAAATTGGTGGAGCATGAAATTATCTGATTCCATGTTTACCAGTCATACGTTTACTGACTCACCCAACACAATTGCTGCCAAGTATTCTTTTGCATGCACTATCAGGATGATGCTCTCTGTTAAAGGACTCCCAATAGTAGGAATAAATATAATGGGTACAGTATAATATGATTTTGTTACTAAACTTAATAAATATTTGCTACACTCTTAATGAATAATAAAAGTTATTTTTAAATAGAACATACCGTGTGCAATCTCTATGGCTCCTTTCACCACTTCCTTAAAAGAAGAAACATCTTTCTCCCAATCACTGGATTGAATTTCACATTTATGTGCCTTAGTGAGACACTGCAGTGACTACAAGGAGGAAAGAAATTATCAATATGTGAGAAAGCAAAGTAGGAGACTAATTTAAATTAACAATTAACACATTCAATTAACACTCAATCCACAATATTCATGTATCCTTACTATGCTTGATTTCCTGCAAGTTGGAGTAGCGTCTTTCTCTGCAATGTTATGCACCAGCTGTAACACAGATGTTCTTCACCAATATTGCATCTCAAGTATGAGATGCATACAAAGCAACATGTGTAATTCTTATCTTTTAAAAATCTGTCTAGACTGATGGACGTGACCCATATTTGCCCAGTCATCATAATTAAATGCACATGAAAATTGGAAAAATACTTGTACTTACACTTTGAACAGCATTTTTTTTAACCTAAAAATTTATAGCTGAATACATCAAAGCTTTCTTTTTGTATATGTATTCACGGCAAATAATGTATTTTACAGATGCAGCTACTAACTGCCATACTGCTCTGGTTCTCAGTGTGAACAGGAAAAATAAAAGTAAACAGCATGAATGAGGGTCCCATTAAGAAAAAAAAAAAAAAGCAGAAGAAATTAATTTTTGCTTTTGAGTTTACTTTCTACAGCATCAGAAATATGAAACAAATACATGTCAGAAGTTACATGGCTTTAAGGTTCATTGATGACTCTTCAATTATGTTTTCAAAGACAATCATATAAAGTAATAATAAACTTTCGGGGCAGTGCAAGCACATGAGTGCAATAAAGCCTTCTGACTGCTGAACAAATGCAGATTAAATCTGGGGGTTGTTATCCCAGAAGTTTCTACCTTCTCTCTCCAAGTAGAGTTCTAATCATAATGGCACAGGTGATTGAACTGCTCGTGCTGCTGTAAATTGCAGTAAAAGCCTATTGAGTCAAACCAGAGCAAATTAATTTTTTTCCTAACAACCTGGGTTATAATTGGTAGCAGCTCTGGCCTTCAGAAGCAAGAACTTCTAAGAGAAGGAACAACAGTTTTTACAGCAGTCTGATTTCAGTCTGCACGTGTCTGAGTCAGAGCAGCAAACTAGGGGGTTTTTGCTGACAGATGTCAGGGAGGGGAAAGAATTCAAAGTCTTGTGGGCTGTTTGCTTGCACTTCTGGAACCTGGATTTATTCTGGAAGGAAACAGTTATGAGCTGGGCAAAGTTCAAGGAACCAAAGAGTTTCATAGTCTGGGTATGGATCAGCAAGAAACTTGAAGGTAGGAAAGATTGCTCAGTGGGAAAGGGATGGACTGGATTGCATTCAATGTAGGAAAGAATGAAGTACTGAATGAGGTGGCAGGTCAGATACATTAAAGAATAAGAGTAAATATATTCTAAGCTAAAGAAAAAAACAAACACAACACTTCCGTAGTTTTACACATCTCACTTGTAAACCCTATCTGACTTAGATTTGATTTATAAGGCACTCCTGTGAACTGTAGCTGTAGGCTCTAGTAATTCATGGAATCAGAGCAGAAAGGAAAAAACCCCAGCCAATCCACCCTTTAAAATATTCAGACATACAATGTTGTTCTTTCAAATGCACAATAGGAACAAAATTACTTATTAAATCTGCACTAAATAAGGTATTAAGGTAGTACATTCTATGATTATGGAATAATGGTCAAACCCTACATTTGTAAAGGAGATGCATGATGCTATGATAGGCGTGTTCCCACCTCTTTGTCCTATGATCATAGAATCATAAAATGATTTGGGCTGGAAGGGACCTTAAAGATCATTTAAGTCCAAATCCCTGCCATGGGCAGGGACACCTCCCACTAGATCAGGTTGCTCAAAGCCCCACCAAACCTGACCCTGGACACTTCCAGGGATGGGGCATCCACAACTCTGGGCAATCTGGGCCAGTGTCTCATCATGCTCACACTAAAGAATTTCTCCCTTATGTCTAACCTAAATGTAGCATCTTCTAGTTTAAAACCATTCCCCCTTGACCTATCAGAAGCCCTTGTAGAAAGCCCCTCCCCAGCTTTCCTGTAGGCCCCCTCAGGTACCAGAAGGCTGCTATAAGGTCTCCCTGGAGCCTTCTCCTGGCTGAACAAACCCAACTCTCATGATGCCACAATATAATAATTCATGCCTTTTCAGAATACATTGACCTTTTGCATAATAAATGTGAGTGGAAAACTGCAACAATACATCTGAAATTTTTCTACAGATAAATAGATTCACTTAATATCTGACTAACACATGATGGTGCTTGTGGCAGTGAAGCCAATAAATCCTGGCTTTAACATTTTTACTTTATAATATTATATCAGAAAAGCTATCAGTGATTACTTAACGTATTGTAAATTAATTTTACCCTGTAATTAATATAAACTGTGGCTGCAGGCAGTTTTGCCTTTTCATTATCTCTATCTATGGTACCATCATACCAGGATACTTGGATACACATGTAAGCATACCTTAAGTATTCGTAAACATCATTCCATGTTGCAGGGCAAGATAGACTGTAAACATGTTCCATACCCGCTCTGATTAGGAAACACAAAGTCCTGCCTACTCAACAAATTGAAACCATATTTTTAACTGGGCTAGTGAAAAACACTGTGATGTAACCAGATTCTGAAACCATTACATTTATAGTATGAACAGGGACTCTGCTACTTTCCATGTCTGAGTAAGAATTTGAGGATATATGACAGGATATTGCCATGTCTGTGTTTCAGAATTGTAAATAGGCCAAACCCCTTTTAAAGGCCAAACCCCTAAACCCCTTCAGCTGTAAAGAAAACTAGGGAAAAAAACCAGGGAAGAATTGAAGGTATAATGGACACAGGCAATGACTAAACAAGGCATTTCACAGGGCACAGCGTAAAGAAGGTGACAATGAGCAAGGCCCAAATAATTAGAAGAAGCACACAATTTGTAGGCCCATCCATATTCCTAATATGGTTGACATAACAAGACAAGCAGTCCTCTAGAGACTGGCATTTTTGCCCAGGCCAAAGGCATACCCCCGTTAGGAAACACATACTGAATGCTGACCTTGTGTCTTTTCAGCTTCAGTGAAGATTGATAACCATTAGTATTTTTGGAGTGTGCAAGGCTATTTGGATTTTGGAAGTTTAATACCAAATGCAAAGCACACTCCAACACACAACAAAGTAAACACTTATAGCACCAGAGAGCGATTATTTTGGAAATGCAATAAACTTGATTACCTGGAAAGTGATAGGAACAAGACATGGTAGTTAATGTAGCAAAATGAGATACAGGTAAAGAGGTACCAGTGTTTCAACAGATTGAATAGCATGATTTAATTCCATTTTAAGCAAAGTAAGGACAAAACACTTTTACACTGAGAGCTTGAACTGTGGTATAGACTATCTTAAATGCATTTCTCTTAGTGAATGTAAAGAATATAGAAAATGGCTTATGATGGCACTGGATCATGCAGGTAGGATCCACTTTTTTTCCAGATGCTCAAATATCTTGTCTTCAGAATCAAAGATTCCAATAAAAAAAACCACAAAAAACCCCACAAAAAACCCCACAACAAAACCCCCCAAAAAACCCACAACAAAACCACACCACCATTAGATTACAGACATTGGATTGCAGGCAAGAAAAGTTTCAGAATACAAATCCAAGACAATGCACATATGCTATGATAGAATGTTTTGAAATGAAACTGGTAAATGAGATTTATTTTTCTTAAGTCCACAAAAAAAATATGTAAAATGTCTTTCTCCTGTTAGATAATAAATATGTGTGCTGTAGGAACATGACACAGCAAACAAGCTTGTAGAAACACTAAAGCAAAACACATCTGGAACAAGAGCATGTCTTACTGTAGCATTATAGTTTGCTAGAGAACAGACGGTTTGTACCAGAACCGTGTAGCCATAAAAATGTATAGCTCCAACACATTTACCTTTTCAATATCTTCACTGCTATCATTCTGTCCATTTCCATAAAGTCGGGCATAAAGTCTCCAGATCTCCCTATCATTTGTCACTTGTGAAGTCACTCTGCCAAAGAGCTCTTGCAATTTCCCCTTCAATCCACTTGCTACCTCCCCAGCACGGTCTGCCACACCATCCACCACTGCTCTGACCAGAATAGCCAGCACCTTCAAAAAGCAACAGGAAAGAATTATTTCAACTTAAATCAACATCAGTATATATAATGATATCTGTAATATTTGGCCTCTTGTAACAATTAGGCAAAGTACAAATACAGTGCCATATGACAAGTACAGAATTTACTAAGAAATTAGGGGAGCAATTAATCTAATTTAAACCTCATCTATAAGATTCTACAGTTGGTGAAGATAAAGAAGCCAAAGAGCTAAGACAGAAATTTGGGTTACTAGGATAGACTAGTGTGAAAAAGAAGGGTATAGGAAATTAAGATATTTCCACCTTGTAACACAGTTATAAAAAGATTGGTAAACAGGCTGAACCAGATTAATTCAAGTAATGGAGGAGATAGTTGTTTACAGGACCCCTATCTAGCTACCCATAGAAACTGAAAGATGCATAGTGGATGAGATGTAAACTAGAATTCACTACAATGCCCCTTTGGGAAAATCTGTTTAATGCACTTCTGGTGAATTACTAGTCAAGTCAGTTCAAGCAAACCTTTTACAAGTACTCGTTTAATGACTGTACTTTCTGAATCACTGGCTTGAGAATGTGGGATCTGACCTGAAAAAATGCTAAACACAGGCAGCTGCTGGTGAACATAAGGGGAGCTGGGCTTTGCATGTATGAAATACCTGCAAATAATACTAAGTGTCCCTGAAAAAAACAGGATTCTTTGTGTCCCAAACTGGACACTGAAAATTAGAAGAGAGTTTCACTGCGCCTCAGTTCCTTCTCAATAAAATGAGAAACAGCAAATGTAGATTAAGAGATTGGATCATATTGTGAATTAGAAAATAAAACCCAGAAAAGCTGTGGCTTATTACAAGAGAACTACATGTTCTGTGTAATGTATGAGACGTGGAGAATGGGGAAGAAATAAAGATAAAATCAGAATGGAAGTCTCATAAGGCCTGCATTCAGGCTGGTAAAGGGCATACAGACATCTGCATTCTGACATGTCCTAACTTGTGAGGCTGTGATTTGGCAACTGCAGTGCTCCAACCTTTTTGTCCGTGCTATATTAATACTTATAATGAAAACACACTAATAGGAATAATATATAAGACAGCAATAAAACAAAAGTCAAAGATGATCCGTGTATAGTCCCAAACCACACAAATATACCACTACTCTAGTAAAACTGGGACATGGGGTGCATCCTCACAAACCAGGATGCAGAAAGTACTGGCAAAAATTACTGGCAGAAAGTAACACAAAAATTATGGCAGTATCAAAATATATTACACTTAATAAAAACGTACGATGTTTAGCATTTGTTTTTCCTAAAAAACCCTTTTCTTCTACAGAATTACTCAATTAACATGCATCCCAATAATTAGAGTTCTATCACTATAGGAAATCTTCAGCAAAACAACAAAAATAAATCCAAATCTCTGCTGATGAATCTAAAGTTCTATAACTCAACATTAAATGGATCAGGTCTTCTATAATGATTTGCTAGAAAAACACCAGCAAATATTGGTATTTCCAACTACAGCACTGTAATAAAAAAACGTAAAAGAGATGTAAGAAGGTAGATTAAATGATGTTCTCTTTTGAAAAAGAACTAGAACTGACCCTGAGGATTCATACATACATTTATGACTTCTCCATCAGTTTCTCACTTTAAGAAAATTGTTATTCAAAGTTTGAAAAGCCAATAGTTAACAAGAGTTTTAAAGTCAATGGTATTTTGTCTGCACATTAAAAAGTTTCCTCAATTGGTAGAATTTAGCAACTGAAAAATTATCCATATTCCCACAGAATTCAGGCTTTGGTTGCGCTTTCACCATAATAATATAAACCCTTAATCCTAATTCATTGTGTAAGCTTTAGCACTACAGCAGTTAAAATAAAACTAGTGTGAAGGCCTGGATTAAAAGGTTCATTAAACAGCAATGAATCATTAATGCTATTTGGCTGTGCCCAGTTGTTAAATACTGCAAGTGAATTGTTCTAATAATAAAAGAGTATTAGCACTGTAACAGAGTTTTCAATTTTAGACATTTGTCTGAAGTGTTACCTTTTAATTTATATCTTTGAGAGATTTTAAACTGCCTTACATTCTAAACTACTAAAGCAGTGCTCTGTTACTCAGGATCTCACACAAGCAATAGAGCTTTTCTTTATTTTTTAAATTATTTTTATTAAATGTCTCTCTTAATGAATTGGGCTCCTCATGTCCACTGTGCAGAGAGTTTGTGTTTTGTATGATATCACACCATCTGCATTCCTCCTCCGCCTTTGCTTTGGTGAATAAGGCATGTTTACTAAAAACTGAACAAAAACCACCATGGAAAAAAATTTTACAAATAATTTACTCAATAATTTTATATTCTGTGATTGCTATCAGTTAGTCTCACTCCACAATTGTTCTCCAAACAACTCCTTTCATATAAAAATCCACTTGGTCACACAATTTTTAGAAGCTCCACTAATACTAATCAAACTTGACAGTGATTAAGTAAGAAGCCTCAGATACCAGATCCAAAATAACAAATCTGCAGTCTATGAGCTCTCCTTACACCTTTATAATGAAGACAATTGTCCTTAGTGAAATTATTAATTCCTACCCTAGCTCCTCAAAATTCCCTTGGAACATGTTCTTGCAGCCTTTTATTAGAAATAGTCTGGAAATACAAACCACTGATATGAGTACAATTTTTGATGGAAAGGGTAACAGAAAAACTTTGCTAGTTTCTCAAGAGCACTGAATTGCAGAGAGGAACCATTTGTCCATACTACTGAATTCATATTCTTTGACAGCACTAAAGGAAGATCTGGTTTCTGGAAGCAATGTAGCATATGCAGCTTTTCCACCCACAAAACAACTTTGTTATTCACAGAACTGCAAGTTTCCAAGTAAAAAATATTGCTTGCCTCCACAAGCATGCATGTGGTGCAAAGTAGTATGATGACCAGTTGCAGAAATCTTTCCGATGTATTTACCACTTCAGACTAGTAATTCAGAGGTTAAATGGATTATTACAATATGTAAGGTTTTCTCCTTGGGTCTTTTTTAGTGACTGATCTACTAGCTGAAACTAGAGACAATTGAGCAAGCCTTTATTTTGTATTACACATAATCTATATATGAAAGGTTTTCAAGGTGTATTTCTCAGTAGGTTCATGAACATTAAAAGGAATAGTGAGATTTGAGGAATTTTAAGAACTAGGAAGGAAGGAAGGTATGAAAACGTGTGTAACATTTAACTAGGAAACTAAGAATTTTGAAAGTATGTCCTTTGCTATAATCTTGTATTGCATTATTGCTCATTTATAAAGAACCCTTCATCTTTTCCTATTTCAATTCTGTCTGCAGAATCTGTACATACATATCTTCAAGCCTCATCATATCCAGATCTAAGAACCTTTGCCACAAGAATGAAGTAGTTGAATAACAAGAACAGCAAGATTTCCCAAAGCTGCATTCTGTACTCAGAAATCTGGTACAGAAAGACAGCAATGGCCTAACAGAAATCACAGATGAAGATATGAATGCCTAACTGTTATTTGAAGATGTCAGTGATTTTCTAATATGACTTCATAGTGTGTTGAAATAAAATAAAAATATCTTATATAACTATACAAACCAATTTCAAATTCTAAGTTTAATTGTGTACTCTGAATTGATGCATTCAGTCTCACAAGGGGTACGCAATGATGATTATGCTAGAAGTTATTGGTGATTTGCTTTCAGTTTTCACAAAGAACTGGAATAAATTACTTATTTCTTCCAGTCCCATGCATATTTATTTTGCTTGCTTACCACTAGGTCATATAGCTTAGTAATCTATCAATTAAAATCTACAACAACTACAAATTTTAAATATAACCTGAAAGAAAATCATACTGTGCTGTATGGAATCAGAGGTGTATGCTTCCACTTACTAATGTCCCATGATTTTACCTTTTTAAAATACACACAATTGCACAAGAGGATTACAGAACATCCCTATTTAAAACAGGCCAGCTGGAAATGGGAGGTGCTAGAAATTAATGATGAGCTTTGTAAACAATCTCAGCAAAAGGCTTCAGTTTTCTGTGCTTTTGTTTGTTTGTTTGTTTTGCTATGAGAATACTCTTATCTTCTTTGCAGGATTATTAAAGCCTTTCTGAATTTTTTTTAACAGGCTCTGAGGTATTTTTTTGGCCAACTAGCAAAATCTTTCTGATTGAGCAGACTGTATTAGAAGTTATGATGAAACCTAGCACTTTACATATTGGAAGGCAAAGTTAAAGTCAGGATGCAAAAAAAAAATTTTGATACGTAGCATATCTATACTTCTGTAAAAATGATAATAATTGTATGAGAATAGGAAGAAAAAAGTTACACAACAGCAGAAATTTAGTGCAAGCAATAGCCCAATATTTTAATAAAATACCCTACGTAAAATTTGGTAAAACACACAAATCTATATAGTCTCAAAACATCTCAAATGGACAAATACATGAAGAAAGTTATATTCCTGGTTAGCTGTCAATCTGACTAAGATAATACTAAAATAGATCAACCCTAGAAGCGTTATTTAAAGTAACACTTGATTAAAAAAATTATTAAAGAAAAGCCAACCATCTAAAAGATGTGCCATGAATAAACACACAGGTCCCACCAGTACCACAATACTGTAGCTGCCAAACACACTGAGCTTTACCACATATAAGACTCTTTTAGTGCAAAGAGAGTTTGAGACCTTTTAATGTTCACTCATATTAAACCCAAAGGATTTTGTTCATACAGAATGTTACCCTGTGCGTAGCTGGCTTTATACCAGTAAGCACTGTACTCATGTATAATTTGTTCTTAAAAAGTAATCTGAAAAAAAATTTAACATTCCCACCCTTCATGAACAAATTAAATGTTTCCACAAGCATAATGAATCCTGTCTGTTTTCTCTTCTCAATACAGGACTCAAACTCTCAAGATCCAGGAAAGCTACTTTTAATCATTTTATGAGTTACAAAAAACGTAGTCCTGGGATCAATGATCAGCAGCAACTGAATCCTCTTACCCTGGTATTACACACAAACTCCCTAAGATCTCATAAGCTCTTCATCCAGATCCATTAATTTTGAAGAGGCTTTTGGAGGTGTTTCACTTCTCTGCTTACAGGACTCTTTGGCTTGCCTTTCAGATTGACCTGGCTATTTTCACTGAGTGTACAGAGCCCTGCTTGGATCAGGACCTGTTTTTAGGCAAGGTAACGTGCCAGCTGAAGCTGTTCAAGTAGGGTTCTCTGGATTTTGTCCATAGCATACATTTACAAACACAGACGTTACCTGAACTACAGTGAAAGACAACCAAAATACCTCCTTCATTTTCCTTTGTTCCAATTATTAAAAACAAAATGTTCTGCCTGTAATGCATTCCAATGGAACGTAATTCACTTTCAAAAGCTTACTTGTGGAATTTTCAAACACATGGGAAAAGCTTACTTTTCTTTAAACCAAATAATTTGTGTTATTTCTAATACTAAGACACAGAAGAACAATATGGAAAGATTAGGTTATACATTTTTTTTAATTTAAGAATATATTTTAAAACTGCCAGGCGCCTGTTTGTCCTTCCACAAAGCCTGAGGCAATCAGGACACAAAGGTTTTCTTTTTTGTCCATTTTTATTTTAAAGACATAGTCTTACAGTCCAGATCTCAAAAAAAAATTAAATAGCTTGCCTATGTAACTTCACTGGTATGAATACTATCATTACTGATACCATTATCAGCAGAACTCTCTCTGTCTCACAAGATAAATTAATTAACATACAGGATGACTTAACATTAAAACTTTCCTACCTGTGTATCCTTGTACTTCTCTCTTAAGTCCATGAGTCGGTGATAAGCTTTAATTGCTTCTGAAAACTCTCCAACATCTGTACTGGTGAGAAGATAGTTCTCCCATATTTGCCAGTGCTCATAGTTGCACTTGAGAGCTTCTTGGAGGGTCCGAAATGCTTTTGTTCTAATCAATAATAAAAAAGATTAGAAAATATGTTTATATGTTTAAATCAGTTGGCATTGTATCAACTAAAAAGCTGCTTATTTAAAAAAACCAACACAGGTGTAGAAAACAGTGCAATGTGAAAGTTAGTGTTCATAATAATAATTAACAAACAATTAACTTAAATACCTTATTTTTGTTTTCCTTTATTTAATCCACATTTCCTTCTTATGTTTATCAATTTACCATTTTATGTAAATTTACTTTTTTCTTCTAGCTGTCAGATTTTACCTTTCAGATTCTGAGAAAGGTTTAAAAAAAAATCCTATTTTGTTTTATTCTTTGGAGACAAGTTATAATGTCAAAACTCTTCTTAATATTAAGTCCTTTCAGGTATTTTTTGTCTATAAGTAACTTTTATTACACTGACTTGAAATACAAAAAAAGAAAGGCAATTCATTTAGTCAAAGCTTCTTGTACTAATGGTTAATTTGGAGGGAAAACAAGTGAGCTAGTAGGTGTGCAGATTTTGTAATATAAAAAATAAACTGCCTGTTTTTCCCTTAAATCTACTGAGATTAATGTAGTATGAATTGACATAGGTCTGAATATATAGTTTGCTTAACTCCATGGTCAAATTCGTTCCCAACTTTAATGTGAACTTTTTGCACTGGTTGTACTTACTACATCATAAATACCTTAACAAGAAAAAAAGTGTAGGGTGACATGTTACTACTTTTATAAAGCTTATGGAACTCTATTTGCTGTTAAATTAAATACATTCTCAGTGATTCAACCTGGGAGAGTGAACTGAGGGGATAAGAATTACAAACTATGAGGTAACTACATTATAAGAATAAAAACTTAATGCCAAAAAAAGGAAATCCTAATTATTTATTTCGGAAGCGATATCCTCTAATCCTTTTTAAGTACTCACTTCTGTTTTAATCTGATGTAAGCTGTCGATAAATTGTTCCAGGCCTCAGCATTCTGTAATAGTAAAAGAAGTACCAAAAAAATTTATTCACTTATATCATACTTACTTGATAAAAATATGTAAATGGAATTAGTGTGAAATATCAGTTTTCCTAAGCACACATATTAACATATTTTGACAAGGCAGTCAAAACATTACCTTGAAATAGAAAAAAAATATTAACATATAAATACATAAATAAATATAACTGACTACAGCAACAATCAGGTGCATCAATTAACTGCCTTCTGGTTGGAATACACCAAGTCAGTTCTTGCCTTCAGTTTAAACTGTAAACAGGTAACCTCTTACAGATCTAGCTGCGATGGCTGGAGAGGTCAGTGCTCCCAGCAGCTCATCACTTCTCAGTGGCTGGAAGCTACTACCTGCACTGCTCTGTTAGTGGAAAAAATAATCTGAATGTCCCCTACTGCATATCAGACAAAACTAACAGGGTTAGTTCCAACAGTAGTTCTCAACTGTTTTAGCTGAATAGGATTACAGAGTGCTCAGATAATCATTCCTCTGGTAAAACCAGCAGGGCCATGTACAGTGATGATTCCTGCCCCTTACACTGCTGTACATTTGAAGCCACACCACTGCATTCTGTGAAGTGGCACTTAGTATTAAATCTGAAGAAGGGAACTTGGGTCCTGCAGTGAAATCTACAATGGTCCTGAAGGCTGTCCTCAAGCTTAAGGAGCATTTGAATCATGTTGGGAAACCTTTTTGAGGGTTAAGTCATTAAAAAGGTCATTACATTGCTGCAGATCCTCGTGTAAAGAGGGGTCTCTCTTCCACAACTAAAAGCCAGCCCAGCATCCTTTACTCACAAAAGAAGAAACACTTAACACTGAGAAGTCAGGTGGCTTGTTCAAGTGAATAAAACTGAGTACAGGCCCCAGAGAGAAAAGTGAACACAATTTTAGTATCTAGAAGTAAAGACACTGTACTGAAACAAAAAAAAATATTAATCAATATACAGAATAAAAATTCCAGTTAAATACAGGGTTGGTTGTATGTACATTTTTTTCCCCAAGTAATTTTAAATTAAAAAATTATTTATAAAATTTTATTATTAAAGGAAAAAGATTATTCTGCCACCTTTCATTGCTCTCTTATTCTTTTCCCCAAGAGAAAATAATGAATAATAATTTCTGTCAAGTAGGTAGCATTAATTCTAAAGAGAGAAACCTGCTGTTGGTCAGGCCTTTTAATGGAAGTATTCACAGAGCACTCCTGAGAGCTAATCCAGCTGACACCTCTATGCTAGCTCAATGCACAGTCACATTCAAACAGCAATATTGCACACATGCTTGCCTTGTGCATCCTGAAAAGCAAGCTATCAAGCTCCATTCTCCCTGTGCTCATGAACTATACAGCTTACCTCCATACAACCACTTATTTGACTTTTTTTTTTTTTAAGGGGAATTTGATTACTTAGATGACTAAGTATTTTAATTTTTTTGTTTTATCTCTCTTTTTTTTTTGGCACTCCTTGCCATCTGCTCATTCCCTTTTCTTTTTTCTAGTAATGCATGCAAGCTTAAAGGAATTTCTGCTCAAAAATATTTTAACATTCACACACATACTTGGATGAAGTATTAGGCAAGTATTTTTATGATGTCTCATGACAAAAATATATCCTTCATGCACAAGTGTAATTTATTCAAAGGGCTAAGGTTTAAACAAGTTTTTCATTATTGCTTTGCTTGTTTATAAGGAAAACATCCTTGTTGCTTTTAGCTAAGCCATCTGAAGCGCTTGTTGAAAAGTACATACATCTGGTTCCAATGTCACACAGCGCTGAAATGCTTTGGCAGCACCTTCGTAGCCTTCTAAAGCAATGTATGCACAGCCCAAGGAAAACCATACACCTAGCTGGAGAGAAAAAATGGATTATTACATATATATGTACATGTTTCTGCACATAAGAAATTATTTTGCCTGGATGCTCAAACACACTACTACTCTTCTTGATTTCACTTGATTTTTTGTTTGCCTCTTCTCCCAAGTGTGTAATGACAGGATGAGAGGAAGTGTTCTGAAACTGTGGGAAGGGAGGTCTTGATTGGACATTAGGAAGAATTTATTTACTGAAAGAGTGGTCAAGCACTGGAACAGCCTGCCCAGGGAGGTGGTTGAGCCACCCGCCTTGGATGTATTCAAGAAATGTGTAAATGTGGAACTTCAGGGCATGCTCTAATGGCCAAGATTGTAGGGTGTGGGGTTTTTGTGGGTGTTATTCCGTGGTGTTTGTGTTTGCTTCGGGTTTTGTTGTGTGGGTATTTTGTTTTGTTTTGTTTGCGATGGTTGGACTCTTAGATCTCAGAGGGCTTTCCCAACCATGACTATTCTGTAATTTTCCACTATCCTAACAGTATTGCATTGGAAAAAATAATATCCTGTATGTAAAATATAGTAAAACTAAGTTTGAAGTTTTCGTAAGTATGGATAAACAAAGGTGTTAACTATATAGACCACTTAACCATATGCGAAGTGCTTTTCAACAGTGAATCTTCATTTAGAGAATAAATTGCTAGTTATTTAGAAGTATGCATATTTTGCCTTAACTTGTGAAAAATCCACATTCACTTTATAGTATTACAAGTAGGTCAAATGGTAAAAACTAGGAAATGTATTTAAAGGGAATAACATTTTACAAGAAGCATTTCTAATGACTTAACTTGAACACTGTCACAATATCGGTCTTCTCTAGTTTATAATGCAATGTTTAGAGACAGAAATGTACCTCAATAAGGCCTTGTGTAGAGAACACACTTTATCTTCCATTGTAGGTCTTTAGTTGTTACAACCAAATACCTCTCTCCCATGCACCTCCCTCCCCACTTCCCCTCCTTAGGAAGCTGCAGAGTCATGAGGTGGCTTCTCAACCTCTTTTTCTCCACACTAGACTAGTCCTTGGCTGCTCCTCATAGGACATCCCTTCCAGCTGTTTCACCAGCTTTATTGCCCTCCTCTGAATGCATTCAAGGACCTTCATCCTCCTTAAATGGTGGGGCCCAGAACCGCATACAAGTATTCAATGTGAGGCCACACCAAGGCTGCAAACAACAGGATAGTTGTTTCTTCAGCTCAGCTGCTTATACTGTGTTTGATGCACCCCAGGTTTCTGTTTGGCCTCTTGGCTGCCAGGATGCCTGCCTGGCTCACACTGAGACTGCTGTTCAGTGACAGCACACGTGTGAACAGTTCAAAGCTGCACCAGGGAAGGTTTAGACAAGACATTAAGAAACATTTCTTTACCAAGAGGGTGGTCAAATACTGGAACAGGCTTCCTAGAGCAGTGGTCGATACTTCAAGCCTGTCAGCATTTAAGAAGCATTTGGACAATGCCCTTAATAACATGCTTTAACTTTAAATCAGCCCTGAATTGCTCAGGCAGTTGGACTAGATGATCTTTGTAGATCCCTTGCAACTGAAATAGTTTATTCTAAATAGTATCAAATATAGGCATAAATTACAGCAAATTAAATACGTCTTTTCATAGCTCTTCAGTAGCCAGTTCCTGATTTGCCATACAGTTAATTCTCGAAGAGCTGCAAGTTAAACAGTGTTACCTTCTAGAAAAGCTCTGTAATTCAGAAAATAATTAAATCCCAAATATATTGTCAGAACATTTTATGATAGCATTATGCTGTTTAAATATATGCAGTCAAAATCAAACAGAACATTTTATAATGTGCTACAAAATAATTTCAGGTAGTATTACCTACTGCAATAAGCTCAGTCATTTCTCCATTCTAAAAGTCAAGGTAAGGAACATAAATACATTTTCTTGGAAAAAAAAAAAAACTTTAAATCAGCCCTGAATTGCTCAGGCAGTTGGACTAGATGATCTTTGTAGATCCCTTGCAACTGAAATAGTTTATTCTAAATAGTATCAAATATAGGCATAAATTACAGCAAATTAAATACGTCTTTTCATAGCTCTTCAGTAGCCAGTTCCTGATTTGCCATACAGTTAATTCTCGAAGAGCTGCAAGTTAAACAGTGTTACCTTCTAGAAAAGCTCTGTAATTCAGAAAATAATTAAATCCCAAATATATTGTCAGAACATTTTATGATAGCATTATGCTGTTTAAATATATGCAGTCAAAATCAAACAGAACATTTTATAATGTGCTACAAAATAATTTCAGGTAGTATTACCTACTGCAATAAGCTCAGTCATTTCTCCATTCTAAAAGTCAAGGTAAGGAACATAAATACATTTTCTTGGAAAAAAAAAAAAGAGAGGAAGATGGAAGACCAGGTTATATTAACTCTGATTTATATTGCTCAACAACATACTACTTTTCAGGATGTCTGATTAATGTTTATATCCTCTTGTGTTTCAGATTCCAGTTGTGAAGCAAGCAATTCTGATAACTCAAGCTCTCTGTAGGAAAATATAATGGCTACTTAAACACAAAAACATTACCTTAGGAAACATTTCCAAATCAGGGATTTTACAAGGTTGAGGATAATGCTGTTGGTTCATATGCAAGGAGCAAACTCTGTAGCAGATATTTTTGCAGCTTTCTCCAGATCAGACAGATTTTTCTGTCTTTGAGACCCAACTTAAAATCAGGAACAAAGCATTTGCTCCTGAATTACCTGCTATAAACTTCACAGTTTAATCGCTTCAAAACTTAGATCCCAGAATACAAATGTTATGACAATCCCTGTCAGATCCAGCACCATGGTGGGCAGTCTTCATGATAATCAAGAAAATAACTGAACAAACTTGGCAATAAAGATATCCTTTTGCTTTTCAGAGTGCACCTGGGATAGCCCATCCACAGAGCATACAGATGAATAGGTGACAGAACTGCCAGTAACATCTGGCCTGGGCAGATATGAAACTCTACTCTTCAGCATTGTCAGTCTATCACCTTTCATGATTCTTCAACTTATCATTCAAAGAAGAAAGTGCTCATGAGGAAAAAACTATTTCTAAATCTCAGAGGGCAACAGAAAATAAACATTTAGATGATCTCACTTCTTAAGCCTCTTTGATCCATCAAGTTTCCAGAAGCTCAGCACTCCCATGTGGTTAGTACCTCACTACCTCCCCTTTCTCTTTCTAGATCAGTAACTTCTGGACATGAAAAGTGGGGGTAGAGACAGAACCAACCGAGTATGAAATTGAAGGCTAGCTCCTACTCCATAGCTTAGGATACAAGTTAATTAGTGCTTCTGCAAAGGGTGAGAGAAAACCATTTTTTAAATAATTCTAATGTGTAACAGCAGCACGGCTTCACTTCTGAGCTTGGCCTTCCAGAATCTGATTTAGTTAAAACTTCCACCATTTTAATTTTTTGAGCCTGATGGTGAGTAGCTACATTTCTCAGGCACTGGCTTGCCAGTCCTTAAGCTTGTCAACTCCTTTCTTAAGGAAATATGACAGAACACTTAAAGAACATTAAAGAACACATTAAAGAACACTTCAGCATCAATCATGTAGAAAATTAACTGTGTAAACAAACAATAGAACTGATACGGATTAAATTTCAGGCCTCAGTAAAAAAGCAGTATAAAGACTATATCTTAGAATACTTGACTAAAATGGAGAAGGTCACATGCTGGGCGATATCAGAAGGCTGTGAAAGTATAAATCCCAGAAAATAAAGTGAGATGCCAATTATTCCACAAAGTTAAGCAAATAACATAATGGATGAAATTCCAAGACTATATATTTTAGATATGAAGAAGCTAGTCAAAAGACAGTATTTACCTTGATCCTGATAAGTATGAATGAATAGGTTCAAAATGTTACCATACATAAGATACTTGGTACTGTATTTAGATTCACTAGTGCTTCAAAAACAAGGACAGCTAATTTAATACAGCGGATGTTAAATTTAAGAGCTATTTAAAATGGAAAAGCTATGTTAAAAGCTAGAAGGGGCAGCAAAAAGAATACAGGTCTGCAGAAGACTTGAAACATTTAAATAAAAGATATTTCAAGGCTTGGAGTGATTGGATATTGTCATTCAAAAAGGCTCTAAAAAGACTAGGCAATCATAGTTGAAAAAATAAAGGAGATTATTAAGAAGACATTATTTAAAAGTTGGTGTTCCAGACAAATGAGAAAGCTCAAAAAGAACAACCCTGACAGAGTATATGAAAAAACATGGTAGCTGTGTAAAAAAAAACACAAAAAAACAAAAACAAAAAACCAAGGTTCATTGCCTTTGATCTACTATACCAATGAAATGGTATTTAATCATCTCTTAAATCTCTGGAAAAGGAGCGTGAATTTCTTCCACAATATGAGAATTACAGTGACTTTTTAATAATATATTTAGGATACAATTTAAGAACAGACTTAAGCTATTTTTTTTTCTGGAAAGAATGGTAAGAATTCCTTTTTTACTGGGGAGGGGGCAAAATCTGCTGATCATAATGGCTGATGTAACAACTGCTCTGAGGACAGTGACTGACTGAAAGGTACCATAAGGCAAACTTCAACCATAGTTCAAAAAAGACTTTTGTCAAGGCTTGTTACATTTCATCTTTTTTTTTTTTTTTTTTTTTTTTTTTTTCAGGGGGGGTGGAAGTGCATTGGCTAGAGGTTCACATGTTGCTAGTGATTAGAAAAACACATGACAATTAACTGTAAAGTTTTATCCATAAAAACTGAAGACAGTGCCTGGCAACGGAAGATAATTTAGGCCTTGACTTGCCTTGACTTTCCAGGCAAGTCTTTAATAAGTCTAAATTATTGTGAAAGGCTTTAAGAAAGTATAAAAATTACAGTATAGCTGGATATTTAAAATTTAAAAAAAACAACAATCCAAATCATGTATGTGAAGAAACATCCTCACATTTTTAAAGCAATTTCTATTATTTGCATATGGAAAGTACATATAGGGGTTTTTTTCAGAATGCAGTAAGTCTTTCAGTGCAATACTCTTAGGAGTACAGCAGTGCTAGTTTAGAAACAATCTATATCCTTGTAGGGCAAAGCTAGTCTTTGAACTTAGTAATCATAATAAAATGTTAAGACCTCTAGTTGAGTCAAATCCTAGCTGAGTACGTTTTTAATAACTCATTATTTGACATAATTTATCTCCTTTATAATTCAGTTTCTTACCAACACAACACACTGACAGAATGTATTATAGTATTAAGTAAGTATGGAGACTTCTATTATAATTTCAAATGAGAGACTAGCTCAACTCCTGTTTAAGTTATTTTTGCTATTTACAAGGATGAACAAGACAAATTGTTGATGAGAATGCTCTCTTGGCACTGCCCAAGACTTGACTTTCCAGATGTAGTAGATGGCAAGCTGGTTTCTAAAGTGTGACTGTTTTGCCAAATCGAAGAGAGATCCCTTGTCTTGCTTCATACACAAGAAAATTACCCTGAGAAGTTATAAGTGAAATAGTTGAGCACAAAAGAGGATTATTCTTTTCTTGCAGACTGGGACACAGTGGAGAATAGTGTAAGCACAAAAGAGGTGCTATGAACACACTTACTTCTGGAAAATTCAAATGTGAAGTGACATATAGATAACCATACCCTGCTCATCACAAGAGCTAACAAGTCTGTAATAAGCCATAAATTTTGTTACACAGACTTTGACCACTGGAGAACTGACTGCATGAGCTCTTTGATCTCTGAATTGTCTCAGTTCAGCCTTGCAAGATGCTCACAGTAGACATGAAAGAAAAATGCATCTGTCATCCTCTAGACATATACTAGAACAAGCAATTCTGTGAGCAGCAGTGCTAGTGAAGATGAGTCTCTGACATATTTCAACTTTCAATACTTTTTGGAACCTCCAAAGTCTAATACAGTGGTTGGCTCATAGTGCAAAGACCTCAACCAAATTTGCTGAGTTGGTCAAAGAGAAGCAAAACTGAAGGAAGGTTGAAAGAGAATGGTTTTATCCATTAGATATTTGGGGGAATCACTTGTTGCAATCTAAAAAGCTCTTTCTCCAAAAAGGTTTCTGATAACCACAAAAAATTAACAATTTATTTGCAACAAGGAGTCCTTGTTTAGCTGATAATTTATTCACAATTCTGGGCTAAAAATTAAAAATCAATTAAGATTTGCCTTGTATTAAAGTCCTTGCACCTAGAATCACGTTTCTCTCTGTTCTTTGTCCACAAGACATCCTGGAATAGAAATCAATTAATTTCTGTAGTGACAGAATCACAGGTATACTTTAGAAGACAGTGACATATGTCAATCCACACAATCCATTTGCTCCATTTATGTGACACAATTCATCTGAATCTTAAATAGAGCTTCTTGAGCAATAAGAGGAGGAAATGTTTGCTTTCATATATGGACAGGCCTAAATGTCTTGGATTGCCTTTCATTTTAAGGTTCCTATGGATAAGACACGAAATAGAAAAAAAAAAATCTCAGCAGAATATTTCTCAGTTTTGAACCCTGTAGGCAGTCTCCTACAGCCATTTATTATCTGGCAGTCCTCTTGATTTCAGTAAGGTTCTGATCTGAGTGCAATATATTTTGTTGGCATTTCCTGAGTCAGTAAGAGAACTGGAATACATTTTTCTTCATTTTGCTTTCCCTTCTAAAGGTGTTTATTAGTTATCTGCTATGCACTTTGTTTAGAATAGGACTCTAAATCGCTGGAACAAAATATTACATGGAAATACAAAAAAAAAAGCTTCAGGATAAATTATTTGATAGGCTAGAGTTTTTAAAACATTTTCTAAAGCAGAAGTCTAACTAGTTATGTGGAACTTAAAACAGCAGCTTCAGCAGTATTCTTTGGAGGGTAAAAGAGAAGAAGAGCCTACTTTCACATGGACCTGAAAATGGCTACGAAGAACAGAATTTCTATACATAAACAACCATAAAGCTGTTTTTCTCAAGACCTTTCATAGGGAGGACCATATTAGGATGGGATATAGTGGCTGAGAAACTGAAACAAGATTACAAAAATTGTCTGCAGAACAGCTTGCCCAGGACCTATCAAAATAACCAGCTTCATGAAGAGAACTCTTTTGACTGTGGTTTCATTTTTTTATTGCCTGATTGCAATTAAAAGCTACTGTCATCACAAATGTATCACAATGGTTCTCAGTGATTCTGGAGGAGGACAGACCAGAATACTTGAAAAGATTTCAGTGAAATACAGAGATCAGAGCAACTAACTCAAAGCCAAAAGACAAGGCAAAAGAATAATTTCATTAAAATCTGTATAACATCCTTTTCGTTGCTACTTTGCTTTACACTTGTTCATAATTTGATGCTAATTATTAATTTTCATTGGCTTGGTCTCTTTGAAATAGAAGAGCTATACAGGCAAATAGTTGCATTCATGGACTTGAATACAAAACTGTATCTTCATTTCATTATGCTACTGTTTTTAGCTCAGCTTCCAAGTAAGTAGTGAAAAATTGGCCAAGAAGAGTAAAAAGCTGTTAGTTTGACAATTGTGCACAGAAATGCCTTTTTTAAAAAGTATGTCATCATTCCAAACCGATCACACCAACTAAAATAAAGCCATATGTTTATCATTTCCTAACCTGCATAGGGTTGATCTGCACTGAACGTTCAAAGCACTGCACACATTCCCTGAATTCCCGGTTGCGGAGATGGAGGAGGCCTTTGGAGCGCTGGGCGCGGGCGCTGCGGTGCCTGGAGAGCTCCCAGGCCTTGTCATAATACTGATGGTCTTTGAGAACATCACCAAGCAAACAATATAATCCTGGTGTTTCCTTTTTCTCCAACTCCCGCCTGAGGATTTCTTCTGCCTGTTAAAGAATGAAAAGAAATCAATAAATAATGGGACAACTTATCTTCAGTTAATCACCTACATGAATAAATTCCACTTTTGCACCTTGCAATCATCAGCTGAAGATAAAGAAGCAGGGATAGTAAGGAAACAGCATCTTGATCCAACACAGCATCAAAGACAGTCTACAGAGAATCTGGTTCTAAACTGTTTTTAAAAAAAAAACACTTCAACATCAACATAATACGGTAGCTTTTAATTTTTAAGAACCAAGGAAAATGTACCCATTAAACAAGAAGCATCTTGCTCCTCATTTAATATCTTAGGTGTGTGATCTTCCGAGGAGCAAATACCAGTCCTGGACATCACACCTACCCCTACTTCATAGCGGTGCAGTGAAGGTTTGCACAATCCTAATAGTTTATCATCTGTCATTTTTGTATACCCTAGTAAGTACTTTTGGAATTACTGTAATTCCTTTTTCTCTAATTGCCCTTTTCTGAAAATGGTTAGTTCCATTCAGTCTAAAGACACATCCACTTTCATACTCTTGGTTTTGGAAATGCTGCTCTTTTACATATGCTGTTATAAATTTATCTAATTGTTTAAGATAAAATATATTCAGAATATATACAACATTATGGAAAAGAAGACACAGTCTGCATCTCCCAGACATCTACTACAGGCAGTAATCAATTTTCAAAAGCTCTTTATCTCAGGGTCACTATCTTGCTTGAACAATAAAATTATTGTTTCTTTTTTAAACAAGAGATAGTCTTCTTTCTGTGGCTTTTTGAAAAGATAAAATACACTGTACAGATGATCTGTTGTTCAGACTGAACTCTTACCTCAGTCCCCTGCTGCAAAAATGTAACAAACATCATTCACCTTAGTATAATCTTTTCTATTAGAAAAGATCTATTTGAACCATCTGAACCAAGAAAGAGTCAATGCAGTCTGCCACACAATTAAAGTTTGACACTGTAACACTAGTTGTTCTTCTGTGATAGCTAGTTTATCTAAAAGAAAGCTGAGTTTATCTCTGTTTCAATCATTACTGCTTTTCTTGTTACTATGAGAACCATTTTCTTTGACCTTCAGATGATCTCTAGAGAATCAATCGTTCAGTCTTCTTCCTCCAACCAGTAAATTCATCAATCCTGTCTGAAAATCTTTAGAAAAATATCTTTTTTTACTTTGTTTTGAAATATTCAATGCATAGTAATTTTTACTTGATTCTTACTATCAATTTTTTAAAATAAAGTAATGGCAAAGTCTACACGTATTTGAAGTGCACAAATGTGAAGAAGAGATGTAATTGTTTAGATTTTTAAAGGGATCCTAAACTAGCAAAAATGGAATTCTATTAAGAAGAAAATTAGTGGCTGAATACTAGAAAAATAACTTAAGGGCAAGTGGTTTTAAGTGCCTAAGGAACAGTTCTCCAAAGAAAGCCAAATAAACCATTACTAGAAATTTAGAATTAGCCCAGTCAAAGCTCTAGAAAACCTCACCTAACAAGAATACTACACTTGCAGGTTTGGTTAAAGGGTAGTTTGTTTCCCCTTTCCTGCCTCCATGAGTTGCTACAGCAAGGCTAAAGGAACAGATATTAACAATAAATCTTCAAGATTATTTTTTCTCCAGCAGAGAGAACTGGGTGCTTTACTATTGCAGTAATCACATTAAGTACCAAAAGGTTAGGTGATTTTTTATGCCTTCAAATAAAGAAAAAGGACTGAAATGTTGCTTGTGTAAACAGCAGCTATGAGGTGAAAAGTGCATTGCATGCTGCTGCTTTACCTCTTCCTTGGTAGGGCACTCCCGAGCTCACATGCCGTGGCAGTACCTAGTACTAATCATATACTAGGCAAGAAAGCCAACCATTCAGTAATTATATTCTGTATTTAAGAGCATAAAAACCTCATGTCCTGGTCTTAGCTTACAAGAATTCATTGCCAACATAAATATTTCAGCACACAGATAAAAGAGAAAATTAAATAAGCAGACATCTGACTTTTTCTTCATCTGATTAGCTATCTGATCACCTCTCTGGCATGTTACAAATCTTTTTATTACTTAAATCTTTAAAGGCTTATACAAAGGATCATAGCCACAAACTAAAATAATAATTGTATTATCAAAATATTTATCATGTGTCCTCTGCAAAACTAGATTATAATTTCCAACTAGATTTCTCATTTCTGCCTAGGTTTTTATGAAGAAAAACAACACTTTGTCATAACTTTATAGTAAGCTACTTTCAAAAATGCACATTTAATCTTTGATAAGAACCCTACTTCTATAAAAAAAAATCATCTTAACAAAAAAATATTATCAAGAAACATGTTCCACACAGCTCATGCAATGCATATGAAAGACCTAAAACCACCAGAGATTTATTCTTGCTCAAACATGCTAATAATTCACATGCTTTATAATTAAAAATTATACCTCAAGTAAATGGCCTTTGATAAGAATATTATCAATTAAAAGTCACCTAAAAAGAAAAAAATGAAGCTGTCATCAGCCTTTGCTGACTGAAACAGACCTAATTATAACACTGCTTTTCACAGAATGGTCTACACCAGAATGGATGGAATTCAATACTCAGTTCAAAATGCAGTTGATTTAAACATGAGATTTAGGCTGTTAACTTTTTTCTGGACTACTATGGTTGATATGGGAATTAAACAGGCAACACTTAACAAAAATCCTCAATCAGGAAAGAGGGTTGTTTTAAATAAAAGGCAGTGCTTTTTCTGACGTGTTACAGAGATGTCTAGAAATCAAGTTCAGGATTCACCCTGCATTTAGCTTCCCAATCCTAAACTTCCACTTGCTGTCACATTGATGTATTCCCATACTTTTATTTGTTTCCTTATTATTAGCCTCAGTCTTGAGCAACCAGCTCTATTATTTCATAATTCATTCCTTCGCTAGTTCTAAGTATTTCCTAAAATGCTTTCATCTATTCTGCTTGCTTAGTACTTGCTAGGCTACCAGAGAAGTAGCATAAAGAAGCAGAACAAATCATCATGGAAAGAGGTAGTGAGAGAAAGCTCTTCAGCTTTCATTTCATCTTCCCTGTAACTTCATGCATGACCTGGGGCAAGACATTTTCTCCTCTCTCAATTTTGTAGGTAAATACAGAAGTGCATACCTGCCTTCTATGTCTGTTATATGTACTGGAAATCGATCAAGTTCTTGAACTAGCTCATGCACTAATCAGTATAGTACTACTTGACTTTGCACCTGGGAAGCATTTTCTGAAATGAGAGGTGACCTTCTGAGATCTTATCGTAATTGTGTTTCCTCGCTCAAATACTTTGAGATTTCTGTGTCATGTTCTGACAAGAAAAATAACTCTGTAGAACGTGGATTGCTGGATATGTTGGTCTAAAACCAAACCGTGTACCATGCTCTTTACTCTGTGGACATGATGGAACAAGGATAGGTCTGAAGAGTGTGTTGTAAGATGGAATACCAGGCTGATGCTAAAAGGTAGAGCTCATGAATTTATGAAAGCCTAGCAGCTACCATGCTCTGGAGTTCCTGCAAGGAAGAGAGGCCTCACTTCAATTGGAAGAACTGAAAATTCACATCACCAGTTCATCTTTTCTTTAGCAGTGAAATAGTACCATTTTTAGCACATTATCCATTTCTGGTGAGGTTGAAGAGACCTCTTAACATTTTAACTAAAAAGCTGATGTAAAAAATACTCAGGATCCCTGGGTCCTCCTCACATGGAGGAGGACACTTTTCAACACCAGTTCCCACTACATACATGGAGATTAGTGTCTCCTTTTGCAGCAAGTCTGTTAAAGGAATACGATGAGTAAAAGTCTGGAATGAGAAAGCCACAGCAACCATCAACATATTGTCCATTCAGATTTTGTAATACCTTTTTTTGTTGTTCTGTATCCTTTCTCGCTTATCACTTGGCACTCTGTGACTCCCGTGTTGACTCATGTTATGATATTAATTACTACTAATTTTGTTCAGATTATGAAACAAGTATAGAGCCATATCTAGTAACAGTAGAAGTTCCACAGAGAAGTTTGCTAAATGTTACTGACATCTTAACTCTGTAGAATTTGTACTGCAACATAGCCCAGTTATAACTGAGTGGAATTATGTTTCCCAAGTGCATAACATGGAGCTTTGCACAGCCTTATCGACATGCTCTGGATTTTTGTCAGTGCATAATTCAAAAGTAAGAGGAAGGAACATATTTCTTTGATGTCTAAGTCTCATCAAACACATTGATATTGCTGATGTTGGGCTGTTTTATTAGTTTCTTCAGTTCTAAAATTCAGGTTTTCTATATAAAGGCATTTGTGACTGACATGCAGAAGTTTATTTAACAGAGTTTGTTTTTTCAGGTACATATATGCTAAATTCTTTAATGACATGAATATCCACTCAACATTTCTAAAAAGAAATATGTTTAAAAACATAAAAATAATTTTAAAAGATACAAACAGTTCAAGATCTCAAAGCCTTCTGGTAAAGAGTATAAATAGACACTCTCCTAAATGTTTCTAATTTTCTGGTTTTTTTGGTCTGAAGCTAGCTTTTTTCCAGAAGTACTATTACTTAGTAATTACTCACATAGAATTTTCTGCTTTTCAATGCACAGCACAAACCCTCATTCTGAAAGCATTTCTAAGCAGTTTCCTGTGTCAGATATCCTGTCCTATTCTCTAAGTGCCATTTTCATAACTCCCTAAGGGCAGTTTGTGAATGTAACTAGGACAGAATGCATTTCCAGGAAATGGAAAATTTTGACCTCTTTTTCTCCACTGTATTGAGAAGACAGGGATATTATCATAATATGCCCAAGGCATGCATAATGTGACACACCATTTGCCAGCAAAACATATCTGTCAGTTTATAATGACCAAAATCTAGGCATTGGTGCATGACAATTAAAAAAAAATAGGCAAGTATAAGAAATTCTACATTTTTTTATTAACTGAAGTTATAGCTCTCTATTTGGTAAGCTTAAATTATTTTAAGCATAGTCTTTGGGCTTACGGCTTCATAAGGGCAAACATACATTCATACATTTAATGCTACCATATACCAAACAGAGGGAAAGAAGAGGGAAAAGGAAAAACACATTTTTGTCAGAAAGTGAGTATTTTTAAAAGCCTTATAAATTCCGAAAACAATGCTTGATAGCATAAGTTCGTGTTAGTTTTTTTTGTGTGAGTGATCACATCAGAAAGAGAACACAGCTATAGTTACACACAAGTAGGCACTGCTTCCACGTATCATTTTCTAAAATCTTCCTACCATTGCTTTAAATAGTAACAGCAAAATAATCAACAATAGGAGTGTTGCTACAGCCTGCTACTAGCATTTTTAAACATTTCTGTCACCAATGCAGTCAGGTGATGGCTTTAAATTTTCTGGAGCTGATCACACATAGCTGCAGCAGAGTTAAAGAAATGATAGAGAAGACCAGGAAAACATCAACATAGACTAAACAAAATAAAGGCTTTTGATCTTACAGCACTTCTTGTTCCAAATGTTTGATTTGTATTTGAATGTAATTTGAATATGCTGACATTAGGCAATTAAATAGATCATACACTGATGTTGTTCTATTTGAAGTGTTTTTAAAAACTACAGTAAATAGCTTGAAATCAAGTGGAAAAGAAAACCAATATCCCCTCTAGACAAAGCTCCAATACCTCGTAATGGTTGACTTCTACAGCCTTCTTGAAATACCCACATTACACTTTGCTGTGTATCCATAGTTCTTAGCTTTCCTTGAATACTTCAAGAATCACTATCACAGTCTTCCTGCTTCTTAATACTTATTTACCAACTTCTATTTCATGTGGTCATTAGGCTACATATTTATTTTTAGCAGTCACAAGTTATGACAGGCATATGTCATGTGTCCATTTTCCCTAAAGAGAATTTCCTAATTATACCCCTGTAGAAGTGAGTGTTATTAGTGAACTGACAGCTCAATCCCGACCTTCCTTCATACTTCAGATCTTATTTCAAGACAGGATTTCAGCTATTAAAAACATGCTTCTTACCTTTCCATGCTGTCCTGCTCTTTCATAGCAGATTACCACATCTTCCCACATTTCCAGCTCCTCAAATATCTGTAAGGCAGAGCTGGTGCATCCCAGCTCAAAGAGTAAGCTTGCAAGCTGGCGCTGGAAAGATAACAAATTCCAGGTGAGTGAAAATTGGTAAGTAAACAGTATTTGCATTTTTAAAAGATGTTAGAGGCATTTCTGACATGAATAAGAAACAGACAAAGAATATGGAATTATTATCTTGAAACTTCATGATGGAGCCTCAAACAATGTACATACCTTGAAAAAATCCCATAAATAGAACACTAATTTTTTTTACTTGTTTCATCTCAGTAGCTTAATTACTTCAAAGTAGTTTATAATAAAATGTAAAAGTGGAAACAGATATAGCAAAGATGAATTGACAGAGCTGAAGCTGCACCCCTGAAATGAGGCATATGGCTCGTGTGGCTGGACGGCAGAAGGATGTTGGAAATGCTGAGAGTGGGAAACAGAGGCTGGAGAAGGGCATTAAAGTCTCCTCTTGCAATGTTTTGCCACTGTGATCTGTACCCACAAAAAGACACAGAAAGGCTCTGATACATTTTGCTATGTACTTGTGAGAAACCATTGTCCCAAATGGCTACTGCCAAAGGGTGTTAGTTTTTAGTCAAATCAATTTTGGATTTGAGTTCAGGCTCAACTCCCTGCTTGTGTTTTCCTCACAGATAAGTCAGTGCCTTAGTTATTGCAAATTCAGCTATTATTTCAGTGTACTTATGAAAACAAATGAGTAATATTTTCAATTTAAAAACAAACAAGGTATGTTTTCATGACTTCGAAAAGTTGTCTTTGGTCTTTTTTTTTTTTTTTTTTTTTCTTCTCTCTTTAAGTTCTGTTTTAGAAGGTGGTAAGTTTCTGATGTTTGAAAAGCGATTGTCACACCGCTGTGCACGTGAGAGGAAACAGCGCAGACCACCCGAGTCCAATCATTTATGCGGACATTTAATCTCAAGAGGAGATTAAAATTGCATATATGTTTTCCTCTCTGAAGAAAGGATAACTTATTTACCACGTGTGACAGATCTACTATTTGGTTTGCAAAAACAAATGGGAGCCTTCTTTATAAAGACACCTATATTGTGCTACGAGATCACATACAATGGATGTCTGTGGTATTTTCATTGATCCTGAATGGATTCCCTCAAGTTCTCCACAGATGTCATGGACCTCTCTTTATGGGCTTGAGTTCAGTATCTGTTACAAATCCAAGAAGTTACCATATGGGAACAGTAGTAAAAAACATTAAGAGCTGCCTACAGTTCTTTGACATAAATATGTAAAGAACTGACAATCTGTAACAAAGTAATTATTTGTTAGCTTGATATTAATGGCTTAGGAAAAAAAAATACTTTTGGCAGGATCTGGAACTGTATCTCATTTATCCTTTATTAAACTTACTCAGGAGTCAAATTTGGAAAAATGTATATAGGCAATGCCTCTTCATTACTATGTCTAGAAAATGGCAGTCATCTTCCATTATAAATCCCTAATTTATTATTTCTATCTTTGGTTTGGATTGAAAAGTGCCACTCTGACTGTAAATGAAAAATACATTTGCTAGTTTTATTGGAAGTGCCTCTTGAAAGATTGTATGAAATAAATTGAGAATGGTTAAAGCAACATGCATAGAGGTTAGAAATTGAAAAGTAATAAAACATCATTAAAAGTAAACAACATGAACATCTTTGGTGGTACATGATGCAAACACTTTCCTTAAGTTTGTTAAATATGGCATCATAAGATAAGACTCTAATTTCTGATCTAGAAAGAGTTTGTTGTCCAGATAAACAGAGTAGTTTTGGAAAAAAATAGCCTGTCTGCACTGGTAAAATGGGGCATGTCTTGAAAACAAAAACCTTCTCAGCTTGAGGGGTTCTTCAGTGTACTCGACTCCTACTGTGGCTGTGATGACCACAACCCACTTCCTGAAAACAGCCCGACTTGAGTGATCATTATTAGATAAGAAAGATGCAAGTAATAGTAGCACAAGTAAAACAGCAATAAATAGTAGGTCAGTGGCAATATTATTTTTACAGGAGATATATGGTGGAAGCTAGTACGTTTTGGTCCATTTTTTATTGGAGAAAAGAGGAATGCAAAGAAGAACTGCATAACAAGCAGTTACTTCTGTGCATGACAGAACAAGATATCTGAAAGCAAAACACTGTTGAACTTGATTTCTTGCCAAAAAACCTGTTGTGTTGTTAAGTTACAACTTTATTACTACAGTGTTTCAACTTAAGATCATATCACACTCTCTTGACTCGTGCAGTATAAAAAATAATAAGAACTGCAGACTTTTAAGTAATGGGATTGCTTCACACCTGTATGGCCCAATGTGGAGGAACTTGACAACAGTAGAAGATCTTCATGCGTTCAGATACTGATGTTTTTACATCTTCAAATTGGTCTGCAAGTGCCTGTAAATGCAAAGTATATTTTAATTTAATATTTACTTAGACTTACTCAACCCCAAAATAAATAATTCAAAGCATTCAGGATTTTAGGCATTCTTGACATAATGGAGAATTTATATTAAAGATGACACTAAATGCAAGTAAACTTACACCACAATACCACAGAATCATAGAATGGTTTGGGTTGGAAGGGATCATCTAGATCCAACCCCCCTGCATTGGCAGGGGCACCTCTCACTAGATCAGGTTGCTCAAAGCCCCATCCAACCTGACCTTGAACATTTCCAGGGAGGGGGCATCCACAACTTCTCTGTGCAACCTCTTCCAGTGTGTCACTACCCTCACAGTGAAGAATTTCTATGCTGTAAGTCTTTTCATTATCCCATATAAGGAAATGTATTGAACATTGATGTAAAAACTCTTTAATACAGCTAATAATAAATAAAAAAACTCTGAAGACATTCAGATTGGACGGTGCAAGAATCAAATTTACAATCCCAAACAAATACTTGCAGATTAAAAACTGTGTGAAATATAAATGTAGCTTTGCCTAATGCATTTTAATCTTTTAGCTAGTTTTTCTCCAAGATAGTATTGATGTGCTTTAGGCATGAACCTTCTTTTTAAAAAGAGAAAGACAAACATCTTGTAGTGGACCCTGCTTTTGGAAACACAGTTCTGATATAGAATAAAATTCTTGACACTTTGAAAGAGAATGGTAACTTTTGCACAGCAAAAATGCAGCAGCTTCTCTGAAAATCCACTATATATCCATATACCATACTGTCACGATCCGTGACCTATTATGTCTCCTTTTTGGAGTGTATTAAGCTTATCAGGATTTGCTGAGAGATCCACACGTGGTTATCGCCTCACACAGAGGAGACAGGGGCTTATGCCCTGACTTTTTCGAGTGAATAACTTGCTCAGTGCTTACTAATATTTCCAACGAAATGCACGGTTTATTGTGGGGAAAACAAAGCAATTTGGGGCAGGAGGTTCAAAAGGAGTGATTACAACACATTAAATATATATGGGTACACCTTAGTTACACACCTTATTTACTTATTTAAGTGAGGGAAGGAGAGGGGAGGAATATGCCCGACACTGTTCCCGTATAGGGTCGTGATTTGTGTGCAGGTAAGACAGGATTATACTTTCCCCTATAAGCTGGGGTAGCCCCAATTGTCTCACCACGCGGCAGCGCAGATAGGACGAGCTGGGTAGCGAAGCGGCTGCAGCCGGGGCTCCAAGCGTAGGTCGCCGCCCCCCCAGAGGGAAGCGGCGG